TATATAGATGTTATATCTTTCCTTTCATGTTATTTTCCTTTTATTGTCTGTCCAATTCTAAGATTCATGTAAGGGTATCTATACCTCATTTTCATGACAATACAATAACTCCACTAAAATTCTTAAAACCAACATATATGAATTTAATTTTATAGAATTATATTTTATTTTATTTGACCAGCTTTTTTTAAGTTATTTCATTGTTGTACATCGAAAAAAAATTTATCAATATAAAGAGTTAAAAGGCAATATTTTAACTTAAGCAAGAACAAATAGTAAGAAGATTATTTTACTTTGTTCCCAACAATTTCTCCCTATTGGCCATACAAAAGGGTAAAGGATTTCCTGGTTTTCTTCTAAGTGGTGTGTCCGCCGCTTGGATTCAAACGAATTTGCATAAACTCTAAAGCCAATTTAACATTAATTTCATTATCTTGAGCTTAGCTGCTGAATTTCCATTGTGTTTTACTCTTGAACTTTGCTGTTTTTATTTAGCAAAGCCCTGTTCAACAAACCATTTATCAATTTAATAAGTGCTGTTAAAATCTATGTTTAGTTAGTGGAATAAAAAACTATGCCTAGGTTTAAGTTACTCACCAAGTTATTTGTTTGATATCGATCATGGGGCAACTTGCTATGTCAAATTTTTCAATACAAAATAGTCTTTCAGTAGAGCACAAACATCTTGATGCACATTATGCATATCCAGTAACATATAAAAGACAATAGAGTATGCACAAATAGGTGCAATGGGAAAACGTTACAAAAAATACCGTAGATTCTATATATTTCAAAGAATGTAAATTACTCTTTATGTAAATAAGAAATGTTTATTACCAGTGTCCGGTATTGAATATTAAGACATCATAGAACTGGGTTATATTCGCCCAATCATCAGCTGGAATATCGACGTCCACCTTGTAAAATCCCTTCAAACTATCTCTGCTCGGAAGATCCAACTGCTCCACAGGCTGCCACCTTTATATAATTAGTTATGAATAAGTAAAAGTAAATCAAAACTATTTAACAGATAAGTGCAAAAAAGATCTAGCAACAGTTTCGTATAAATGTTTTCTCATGTTTATAAAATGCATCATCTATACTATCTGCCTTAGTACACTAAACAATACTTAGCTCCACTGCAACTTACAGAATATGGCACAATAAAACAATATCTTCACACCCAGAATTACATAACTCATGCCCTTGCAATATGTACTGAAAAAAAAAGAGATTTTTTAATAAGTGTAAGGTTTGCAATTAGAGGAACCAACGTAATGCAACAAGATTGTTTATAAGTATATAGTTCATCATACAGAACTAGCCAGAATTTCACCCAAATTATCAATCACTTTCAAGCAAATGCTTACATGTACTTAGCAAGCAGCACAGCCCGGTGGTAAGCCAGAGTGAAATCAAACTTGGGGAAGTAGCCACCCCTCCACGCCCCTTTCCTCTTCCACTTCCGCGCACCTGGGTCAGCCGAACTCAGCACACAAAGGAACGCCACGATAAAATTCTCATTTAGTGAATCTCCAACGAACCCAATGCGCCGCCCCTTCATTGCATGAAGAAAGGCGGCAGGGTCGATCCGCGGCAGCGGCGACCCACCATAACCTTCAGGAATCCATACCCAAGAGTTGATCGCATCCATGTTCTCCCTCGCATTGCGAAAACAATTCCACGCGTTGCGATGAAATTTACAGGAAGCGTCGTACAGTGATCTGCTGTGATTTTTGCGTTGGGGATCGTGGGTCCAGAAACCGCGGGTGAGATCAGCTGCGCGGATACTGCAAAGAGTATTGGTGTGTCGGCGGAGTGGAGGCGAGACCTTAAAGGAGAAGGGAGAGGATAGAAGGGAGGATGATGAGAAGAGGAGGAGAACGGCTAGGGTTAGGAGAAGAACGATGGAGGAAAGTCGAGGGGAGAGCTTCGTAGGCGGGTAGATGGATTCGCGAGCCATTAAAGCGTCGCCGACCAACGGTAGTTGGTCGGAATGCTGATAAACAGGCAAACGTGGCGGGCAACGACAATAGACGACTGATAGCGATTTGGCAACGACAGATGTTGGCAGAAATCTCTAAGAGGCTGTCTGATAACTCA